TCTCGACCTTCCGAATCCATGGTTAGTTCTAGAAATCTACCATATGATGTGGCCTAAATAAGGTAAGGGAGGGGGGTTTAGCTTATTTGGGCCATATGTGGCCTAAATAAGGTAAGGGAGGGGGGTTTAGCTTATTTAGGCCACATGTGGCCTAAATAAGGTCACCCATCAATAAAAGGACAGAATGTGGTCAGAGTACACCATCCACTCCTTTTGCATACTCTGTATAATGGATTCCCAATAATACTTTCTCATTAAACAACCTTACACAGACATACACACACATGCTCACAAACATAAGCATGATTCACTCACCATATAACCACATGCAGAGCCACACACTGTCTGTCTTCGATCAAACCATACCACCCACTCTCCATCCTCACATGATTAGATTCAAGTTCAAGGAAAATCTAACGCCTTACGCACACTACAGGTAATATGAGTGACGATGCATCTCGATGCCAGCAGTGTGCATGTATCATTCTTTGTGGGGGAGAGCCCGGGGGGCTCATGTAACACAATACTCATGGTAACGATGGGTGTGTTATTTTCCATCATGTGAACAGGGTAATTTGCATTCAAAACAATTGTGAGGAACAAATTGACTGGGTAACTACCCAAGTTATCCCATTGCCCATTTAAATTACCAAATCGTCCACTAGTGGGTGATATCGCTCAGGTTGGCAAGCACTGGTCTAAAGGATCAAAATATTTATTGTTCTACGGTACTTTCTTCACAACAGGTACACGATGAAGTCTATGGAGACAGACTCGAAGTCTGAGATGTCAGTGTATGCTTTTCTTCTGAAGTGGCCGGACTCTGACATTCTGAAGCTTGGAGCACCCCAAGCATCAAGCAGCACAGTGGTCACTCTGCTGGGATACTCTGGTCAACTTGATTATGATTACTCCCCAGGTTATGGTCTTGTCATTCAGATCCCACCCATACCTTTCAATAAGATGCCGTGTGAATGGGTGTGGGTGTTCAAACTCACAAACATCGCAAACTGAGTGAATCCTGCTCACCGATCTGACTGAATTTCTTGCAATTCTGTATATATAAAATATGTTATAATAATAGTTTTCATTTCGAGTATAGGACATGACCATTATGTGTTATATGTCGGGACAGATGACTTAGTCTTGGAAAGGAAGGCCAATGAAAAGAAAAAGAAAACTTACAGGAGAATGGAAGGAGAGTAGAACAAAAGAGAAAATGTAGATCTTAAATGTAGAAATATATTAGTTTGAGAGATACGTTCAAAGGCTGAAAAAGACGAGGTGATTTTGTCATGGCTGATAAAATAAAGAAAGACAAAAAATTAAAAGAAAAGAAAGTATAAAAAAGGAGACGAGGAGGGAGAAGAACGAGAGGAAGACCATGGTAGCTCTTGTTTTGAACGTTTCAAGTTTATATAATATTACGAATTGTCCCTGCTGCGAGCACTGTAAAGTTATTTGTCAGGCAGGTCTAGTCATTCAATGTCCACCCCTAAGGGGACCAGGTCATGAAAGGGGAGAACCTCGATAACTCCCTTAACCCTTTCATTGCCAGGGGGTGTACGTTCCTACTGTCAGCACTGACTTTCAGCTGACCTCGTTTCCGAAGACAGCAGCCTAATGTCTCTGTATTAATTGACATGCGGCCAAGCTCTACCACACTCATGACATATTTCGGACAGTGGGTCTTCGATTGTGTCACTTTTCTCACTTTTCTTGTACCTGATTTCCTCCATTTTACTCATAATTTCAAATAACATGCAAATCTAAGTAAAAAAGTGAATTTATTTGCCTTTTCAAAGTCATTTCAATGTTTACGTTTTGCAAGAGCACGCGGCCACCCGCAAGACTAGATCTATGTATGTCGATCGCTTGCAAGCCTAGTGGAAAAGTAATACTTGCAAATTTGGTAACGATATAATGTGTGTCTTTTATTCCCAAATACGAATCTACCCTTTGCTTGTTACTAAAACTCCGTACAGAAGAATTAAAGCCTGGTTATTGGCGTGATGAAGAGGTAACATCATATAGGCAACCAGGAATGGTAAATTTTGCCAACTTCCGTGACATACATTGTACGGCACAGTGCTAAAAATGATGCATTTTCATGATGTACCAGATACGTCAAAAGGCAACGAAAGGGTTAATAAACTTAGCTTGTGAAGGGTTAAAAAAACCACGATTGCTTAGTTGAAGTGTTCATCTTGGTTATGGTTTCACACTGTTAAAAAGACACTTTTAAAAACCCTTAATTACAGTACTTCTACGTGTTTCTATGACCAGATTAAATGGGGTCAGTTGTTTCCAGGATCCATGTTAATCTACTGACATCTGTGGTGTAAGATTAGATGCTTTTCGGTCGCATGCAGAAGATATGTGTTAGATTCTTATGTTGGGATAGCTTTTATTGAGTGTCTTGGTCTTTCTACTGGGACGTTGTATGCTTCTAAGTTGGCCTTGACAGGAAGATTTGAAGCAGCCCATCTCCTTAATGATCTAGATACAGTGGGTGTCGCGTTCAACGAGGTCACTTTCAACGAGAAGTCGGCTCCAACAAGGCAATCCTTAATCCCCGATTTTTTCCTCTATATCTCTTTATAAATGTACGTCGGCTCCGAGGAGGTTGCAAACAGACCAAAGTTACTTTCAACGAGGTCGCGATAACCAAATAAAAGCAATTAGCCTCCCCAAAAGCGAAGAATTTTTCTTTCTCTCCATCTCACGCGAAGCACAAGACCCATCCTTGATTCCTAACACATTGTATTGCTAGATCTAGTGTGCCTCCTAATATGGGCCCCAAAGGCAAGAGGATGGGCGAGGATTATTAGCCTACGGTAGGGATGTGAGGGGGTGGGTGGGAACGCGATGCGGGCTGTGTGAAACTGGATGAACTCTGGATGGGTAGATCTAGATCGAGACCTTCATTTTTCTTTTCTTTTAGAGAATACAAGCTCCCGCCATTAACTTTATGTAGATCTAGGCCTAGATGTGAGAGGGTATGTTTCCACATGGGAAGTGTTCCGAGAAAAAAAAATAATTTTTTAATGCAGAAATGACAGTCAGATTACAGCTCTCAAACACGCGCACACTGATGCTGTTTGAGATTTTCATCTTCAGGGGGAACAATTGTTTTAATTACTGGTATTGGTACATCATGTAATATAATAACTTGTCTCCTTTCTTTACTTTAGCCTTAGTCACGTTCAACGAGAGGTCAGATTCAATGAGGACAACAAGCTGGTCCCGGCAACCTCGTTGAATGCGACACCCACTGTAGTGTCTATGGGATGTAAAACTTCTACAGTACAATTAAAATAGAGTGCTCTTCTGGACTTGCTTCTGTTTTGTTGACACAAAGATTAGAACTTAAATGTTTCAAAATCAAAGTCGTTCATTTATTTAATATTAGGTAGGTTCTTTACATTATTAAGAGTTTTAAAGACTTGCTTGAGTGGGGTCATAGGAATGTGATCTAAGGAAATCTGACTTCAAAGCATTCCATTAGGTTTACCAGTATTCCCATGTCACCGTCATATTGTCACTCTTCACCCTTGCATGTCTCTATAAGCTCTGCACAAAATACATAAAATTTGCCTTTTCATACTTTTGTAATCCTTGTAATACTTGCAAATTTATGTTCGTCTATTATTCTAACACAGAAAATAGAGACATGCCTATTAATGATTTTGAGATGCGCACAGCACAGATACTATGGTACAACTTTTAAAAATTCAAATATAGACTTAAACATAAAAACGAGCAGCATTTTGGGACGTTCAGAGCCCTGTGTTCCACAACTCAAGATTATTAATCAGAGTTTTAAAAAAACTGATACAAACTCTCGAAGACACTTTGTTTAGGCTGTAAAGAAATAACTACCCCTTAATTAGTATGTATTCACTCTTCTTAGGCTTTTTATAATACTCTCGGAAACTGTCTGTTACATTCCTGCAATTTTGTAATAAAATTATGTATTAATTGTTTCAAATATATGTATATCCACACACTTGTACTGTTTGTTTGCATCCTGTTTGAATATTATGTACTTTTTCACTGCCAACTAATGTGAATATTCATAGCTCAATATCAGAGAGACTCCACTCCAGTGCCAAACAATTTTCAAATTAAAATGTATTTGATGAATATATGCTAATAATGGTGGTTTAATTCTCACGTGACATTTTTTTTCCTGTATTGTCAAAAGTAAATTTCAAGTTTTTGTTGGGTTTTTTTTTGGGGGGGGTTGCTGTTTTTAAATATCAAATGACTTCGTAAAAGACTGGCATGTTTACCATAATTGAAGAGCGGTTTTCCAAAACTCAGAAAGTCAATTTTGACAAGTGCCTGGTTTCACCACGATGCCACACACATACATTGTCTGAAACAGCCATATCCACTGCTCACAGCCTTAACTTTCGTATCCTGGACTCTAGTAGCATTTCAAAAATCTAAATCAGCACATACTCATGTGCACATAATAATGCATAAATGGGTCATGTTTATAAACGTGTGAGGCATCGTGGTGAAATGAAACGCTTGTCAAACTTGACTTACTGAGTTTTGGAAAACCAAGCTTCAATCGTGCAATTGCGAATTGATTGCTTTACGTTACCTTACCTGTTGAGTTCTCGGTGTGATTTTATTATTAAAAAAAAAAAATCTGGCTGCCTTTCATTCTTGCTATTTTACTTATTCTTATAAAGTACTGTATATATATTTACATAATTAATATTATAATATGAATGATCTGTTCTGTAGTTATATTTTTATATCTTACATTTTAAAGAATTGATTTATTCGAGTTTTGTAATGTGCTCAGTTCATAGAAGATTCTTTCTCCTGAGATCATATTTATGTTAAGATGTGAAAACTCAATTATGAGTATGCAAAAGAAGTTTGGACTATGTCTGTAGTACTCAATCATCTTTATAAACAAATGTAATGAATGGGAAAGGTTATATTTGAATTTGGGCATAACTTACGTATTTTAGAGAGAAAAATGGGAAATGACGTAATTTGGAAATATAATTTTTGTTGCTCTTTAATTATCACTCTACTATCACCCACTGTGTTTGTTCGTCAAGCAGACAATGTCTCTTGTAATCAGCCGCTGCATACATTATTTTATTTAAGACCATTTCTTTAATTCTGAAAGTGAAAGTTCTGTCATAGTAGTTGAGAGGATTTTTGTTGCTTGGCATATTTGTGGATTTTACTAACCAGCTCCTGTTTCGCTGAAGTCCAGATCAGCGAGCTTTAACTGTTACAGTTTGTATCTTTTACTCTCTTCACCCTTTGACTGCGCAGTGTCAATGAAATCAGACATCAGGCTTAACATCTCGGATTTGTTGACTCATTCCATAGGAAAAAAATGCCGTCAAAGCAATTTTTTGTATCAGCTTGTTCGTTTCAGAAAGTACTGTCGTTTAAGTTTAATGGTACAGAGCATTGGCCTGTGGATTTTCACCATGTATGTTGGTCTGCAAAATTTATTGATATTTGACAGTTACTAACATTTTATTTTGTGACTGTCAGATTCGATTGCTTATTTCACTCTCGCTAATTTTTAAGTGAAAGAAAAATGTCATGTGAGGCACTTAAACTTAAACCCTACAAACTCATGGGCGTACCTCAGCACACATTGCCTCGATCCTTCCATACTCCAAACCAAAGCCTCAGCATAATTATTATTATGGTGGAAATCCAGCAGCTTCGGGACTAGCTGGAAGTAAAAGATCTAATGATTCAATTCTTAAAATGTCCTTGATTGACTGGTGTATGCTATAATAATGTCAGTCTTAATGTACTTTTGAGGGCTTGGGTTTCCAACTTATTTCACTTTCACCCAGTTTTCTTCTACTCTGGGCCCCAAAATATTTGAAATCGATTAATCAAGTCAGGCCCATGACTTGGAAAGGCTTGCCCATGCCTAGCATGTAGTATGTCTGAAGTAGGCATTATATCTGGTAAAATGGCCCTGTAGGAGGAATTCAATCTGTATTCATGTTCTATAGAGAGTATTTTTTTATAATCTTGTGCTGTATGCCCTGGGGACATTTTGTACCCCCGGGGTTGTATTCTTCATATTTTAGAATACTTCTAGTGCAAAGATCTCTTTGAAACTTTCTGTATTTCTCAAAAAATCATTTTGACAGACTGCTATGCAAAGCGTACGGATCGGATAAACGAGTAAATTTCCTCTTTGGAAAGTGGTGGCACAGAGTTCCCCACGTCGTATGGATACAATTGTAAAACACGACGTACGGATAGGGTTAAGCAATGTCATCATCATCAGCCTTTCTGACTCTTTTGATGGGGGCAT